TTCCTGAAGTATATCTTTTAGTTCATTTGTTTTTGTTTTATTAATGTGAATTTATGGAGGCAATTTTCTCAAATTTTATTGATCAAATTTTCATTTTTGAAAAATTATTTCTGTATGTAGAATTCTAGATTGGTAATTACAGCTTTCTCCGAATTAAAAATATCTTTTAATATCTTCTAGCTTGTTACTGCTATTGAGAAGTCTGCTGTAAGTCTAACCATTAACTGCCATTAAATGAATCTGACTTTTTCTTTGGCCAGTTTAAGATTTCATTCTTTTCTTTGGTTTTCTGTGTATTCTTTAAAATGAAGCTAGGCATTCATACCAGTGATACCACCAGTTACCCAAGAGGAATCCTGCTTCCTCACACATTGAAGTATAACATTAGAGAAGCACACTGAGGCAAGCATATAAAGCAGGGTTTATTTAGAAAGGGGTAACATAGACTTCTCCCAGGAGGGGAAAGGAGGCCGTGGCTGGTATCCTGGTATCTTAAGAAGTGAGGGTATTCTGCCTTTTTTTTTTTTTTTTTTTTTTTAATGTCTTAGGCTTCCTTTGTTCTCCTGCTCTCTTCCCTTTATCTCTCTCCTTTCTGTGTATGTGACTATGCCCAGGAGATGCTCAGGTGGAATGACCAAAAGGTGAGAAGCAGATGGACAGGGGGGTTGGCCAGATGAAGCAGCCCAGGATACATTAATTAACAGCTTTTACAACTCCCTGTAGGGAGGGACAATTCCTGGGACAGATTACCTTAGCAACAGGTTGAAACAGGTCAGGTTATCATGATAAGGGTGGAAGAAGGGCTCTGAAGTCCCTGGGGGGCAGACTCCAACTTCAAATTGGCCTCCTTGATCCAACCTGACTTGATTTACCTATCTATGTTGACTGCCTGTCTAATGCTAGCTTCATAAGGGTGAACCCATTCAGGGTTTAATTTGACTTTCATCACTTTTATTACTTTTACCTAATAAACCTAACAAGTAATGGTCATGTTAATGACTGTTCTTAAGATAATGAAATTTTTTTTTTCATTTTAACATTTGATTTTTGGTAGTATTGGTGCTTTTCTTACTGAAAAGGAGAATGTAATTATTCAGTTGTTTAATTTTGCATAGGTTTTTTTAATTTTAAAATACTCTAATATATATGTTGTTTTTGAAGTTTGTTTTATTTATTAAACTTTATATTTTTGATATTTAATCATAGTGTTTAAAACATTAAGTTTTCATTGTATATAGGATGAGTATTAATTATGATAATGTACTGTGTATTTCAAGAGCTAGAGAAAGGATTTTGAATGTTCTAACTGCAAAGAAATAATTGTTTGAGGAGAAAGATATTTGCCCTGATTTGGACACTGTGCAAAGTATACATGTATTAAAACATCACAAAGACCCTATAAATATGTGCAAATAAGTATCAATTAAATAGATGTTTTCACCATGAAGAAATGATAGATCATTGAGAAGATAGATGTTTAGCTTGACTTAAACATTGCACAGACTATACAAACAGGGATATACCACATAGTGAACTGTTATTAGGTGTAATTTTGGTTTTAATCTATCAATTTTTCAAAAAATAAAAGAAAAAATGAAAATATTGATAAAATAAGCAATTCTGATAGTAGGTTAATGGCACAAAAATAATAGTGAGTTAAACAACTGACAGAGTGTCACATATAGTGTTCAGTTAAAGAAGATTTAAGAGAATGTGTATTCTCTTACATAGATTGTGGTAAGATGTGAATCCCTTTGCTTTGGTGCCCCACACCTTTGGCCTTGTGGGCTGCAACCAACATGGCTTCTCTTTTAGATGGCTCTGCCCATTGCTTCCTACAGCTTTCCTTGGCAGATGTTCCATGTTACTAGAATCTCTTAATTCCTGAGGTCTCTACTGCAGCTGCAGCTTCATTCTCACATTTTAATGCATTTCTGTCTCAGGGGTTACCTGAAAGGATTCTGACTCTCCTGCACTTTTCCTGGCCTCCCAGGCCTTCCTTTGAAACCTCAGTGGAGGCCTCCATGATCCCCAACTCCAGAATCCTACATTCTTGAACAGTGGCACCACATAAATGATGCCAACTTTTGCTGCCAGTTCAAGGAATAGCTGGGCTCCTTGACTATGGTTGCAGGGGCCCTTGAATCTAGACAACTGAACATTATATAAGGAATCCTGGGGAAGCAACTTCATAGATCCCTCTTATGGAGGCAGGGTGCTCCTATGATCTCTTTTCAAATGAATTTTTATTTTATACTCTTAAGACTTCTATGGGTGTAGTTTTCTAAGATGCCCTCAAAGAATCTTTCCTTGTATCTCTGTACAAAATACTTAGCTTCTCTTTAGTGGTGGTAATCTCTTCAGCAACCACATCTTCTTGGCCCCAATTTTACTTTTACTTTTTTGGCAAAACTGAAAAGCTTTTTGAATCTTTCTTGTTTTTTTTTTTTTAATTTAATTTTTTTTTTGCTTCTCATTATCATAGTAAACTTGGATTAAGAACCACCAGCAATACTCATGCAACTTTCTGAATTTGTGCTGCCTTGAAATTTCCTCCCCCAGATCAATTAGTCCATCAACCATAGATTGAGACTCAAAGTTTCAGGTCATGGGCAAATTGCAGACAAGTTCTTTGCTGTCATGTGACTGTATCTAATGTGACTTGTCTCTAATCCACTTCCTAAGAGTCCTCATTACCATCTGCAACCTCATGAGCATAGACTTTTTACTGTTCATATTGTTATCAACATTCTGGTCTTCTCAGCTCCCATCAGAATTACCTAATAAGCTTTGCTTTTAACATTCTAAGTTTTCTCCAGCCTGCATCTCCAAACTTATCAAACTCCTGCCACAAACCAGTTCAAAATGCTTCTGAACTACATGGTCAGATTACTCACAGCAACAACCCTACTTTTCAGTATCAATTTGTATGTTAGTCAGCTTTTCATCTCTGTGACCAAAGTACCTGACAACAGTTACTTAACAAAGAAAGAATTTATTCTCAGTTTATAGTTTTAAGGACTAAACCTGAGTTGGTGAGCCTAAAATAAGTTTTTCTTTGCGAATTCTCAGTTAACATATAATTTTAAGTGCCTAACTAATTTTAGAAATGAAATTTTAAGCACCTAATTTTAGAAATGTAAGACAATGATTTCATGCTTCAACATTTACTATTATAGACTCAGTTGTTATTTTAGTGTTATCAAAATAATTTTCTTTCTGTATGTGTTTAAGGTATTTTGCTTTTGTTTTTTGGTGTGTGTGTTTTATCAGAGCCTGAATATAGGTTTCCTTTGTGTATATACTCAGGGAGTTTGCCAAGATTTACATTTGTGTTTTGATTTCTCTAATCAATTTTAGGTACCTTTGAGTTATTAATTTTTCAGTTATTACTTTTGTCAATTCTCCCTCCTTTGAAACTCCAGTTATTCATATGTTGTGTCACTTAACTCTACATGACACATTTTGTTTTTACTCTGTTTGATTTGTTCTTGTTTATGCACTTTAGCCTTTCTGTATTTCACTTGTGGCATTTCTACATTAGACTTTCTTCAAGTTTAATATATTTCCCTCTGTGTCCACATGACTCATAAGACATTATTTCACATATTTTTCTGTAGTTTCAGAATAACACATGATTTTTAGAGTCATTTTGTTTTGGGTATCTTTTTATTTTTACTCATTTACGTCTTCTTTATATACATACTTAAAAGAGTTATTTTAAAGATATTGATAGCATTGTAGCTTCAGGAGCTAATTGTCTGCTATATACTAACTTTATTTTCTCTTCCTGGACATACTTTTTCTCCTTTCATGTATGCTTTAATTTTCATTTGAAGAGATGGAATGTTATGACTTAAGTTTATATAATTATTCCCACCAACAAGAGTGTTTTCTTTCTTTTGATGCAAAGAGAGGACTGTGTGTGTGTGTGTGTGTGTGTGCACGCTCATATATTTTCAATTGAGAACATGGTTAGAATCTTGTTCCTCTATCCCAAAAGACTGATAAATTTATCTGCTTCTTTGATGCTTTGACTCCTGTTTGAAAATTTGATCCTGAGTGATTTTCAAATATAGCAAATATGTTAATAAAGATACTAACTGTTTACTTAAAGCAGGACACTTTTCCTGTTGGAACTTTTTGTCTGAGAATATGGGAAATTTCAGTCCAAAGCTTCACCAGGGAACTCTGATTCTAAACAAGTTTCAGAAAATTTTATGCTAGACGTAATCTCTCAAAGTTCATCTGGTTCTTCCTTTCTTCATTACCATTCCTCTATTTATTCAAATTCTGATCATCAATCTATATCCAGAGCTGGCAGTCAAAACAAGGTAAGAAATAGCCAAAGACCATATGTTTGCATGAAATAGGGCTTTTTCACTTGGATTTATTTCATTTAATTCTCTCAATCCCACAATTTACTTTTAAACACACACACACACACACACACACTGTTTTACATGCACACTGTTCTAGTCAGCTTTCTGTTGCTGTGATTAAAAGATCTGACCAGAACAATTGTAGAGGAGGAAAAATTTATCTGAGGGCTCACAGTTTCAGAAGTCTCAGTTCATAGATAGGCAGCTCCATTCCTCAGGGCTGGAGGTGAGATGAAACATCAGGGGGAAAGAGTGTGGCAGAGGGAAGCTGCTCATATGATGATCAGAAGGCAGAGAGAGAGACTCCACTGGCCATGTACAAAATATATACTCTAATGACACATCTCCTCCAGCCACACCCTACTCACCTTTATCTACCACTCAGTTAATCCCCATCCCCCCATCAACAGATAAATTCACTGATTGGGTTAAAGCTATCATAACCCATTCATTTCTCTTCTAAACTTTCTTGCATTATCTTATAAGTGAGCTTTTGGGGACACATCACAACAAACCCATGACACACATTCCCACAAGGGATGGATCAGTAACCATATAGGTATTTTTAAAAGCAAAGCTAACCCCAACACACCATATGTTTGCTTTTATTATTTGCAGATTGCCAGGGACCTCCTCCAATAGGAGATACAGAAATTCTGTTAGGTTCCTGGCCTGACCAGCCTTATACAGAGGGTACTCAGGCTACCTACAAATGCCACCCTGGCTACAGAACCCTTGGCACCATCAAAAGGGCATGCAGAAATGGAGAATGGGTGGCTCTTAATCCAGCCAGGATATGTCAGAGTAAGTACTTCGCTTTTTTAAACAATATTTATTCTTAAGTCTTAGGTGGACACAATATTTTTATTTAACATTTATGTGGTGCTGAGGATTGAACCAAGTGCCTCATGCATGCTAGGTGAACACTCTACCACTGAGCCACAACCCCAGCCCTGAGTACTTCACTTTTTTGGTGAAACTTATGAAATCTTTTAGTTGTAAAAATGCTTAATACTTGATATTGTAACAATACTGGTTGAATTATATCATTCTTATCATTTTAATACAAAACAATACATGATTATTTTTAAAAAGAGGACAGTAATCCAACAAAATTCAAAAATACATTCAATTATAAAATAATAGCTTTGTTATTTTCAATTTTCCTTATATTCAGAATTATCCTCTAATTAAATGCCAAATATCTTTGTCCATCAACTCCTACATAAAATGTGTTCCCTGTATAACATACTAATATATATATATATATATATATATTTTAATTTTAGAGAAGCCCTGTGGACATCCTGGGGATACTCCATTTGGTTCTTTTCATCTTGAAGTTGGAAATAAATTTGAATATGGTGCAAAAGTTGTTTATAAATGTGATGAGGGGTATGTAGTCGATATTAAAAAGGTTTGTAACTCAAATACTAAAGAGGAACTATACTAATTTATATACACAAATAACTTGAAAATTAAGGTACAATATAAATTATTATATGTGATGTCATACTGTCTCCTTAACATTAAGAAATTCAAGCTTAATTACTCTGATATAGTATTATTATAAGTATATGGAAAAACAGTTCGCATGTAAGTTAGTGTTCACCCAAGGCATCTTTTCTACATTGTACTATTTGCAGGGTATTTTGGGTTATTTATATTGGAGATAATTGGACACATAATAAAATTATAAATTTATAAAATTTAGGAAGAAGCAAGTCTTTGGTTGTAAGTTTTACTTATAAATGCTATTATTTAAATTTCCATGTTATACAAATTCTTCTTATCATTCATATCAAAAATGCTACTCTTTCAGAATCATTGATTTTATGCCTTCTAACCAACCAGTCAGGTTTCCTGACTGATCTCATCATGATACCTCCTTAGTATTTATTCTTCTCTATTATTCCTCTAGGTCAAAAACTTATTTTGCAGAAAATTTTGTACATTAGAAAGCCATGATCAGATCACTGTAATTTTATACTAAACAAGAAGAATCAAGAGATTATAAATCAAATCATTATTCTCCCCTCATACATTTCTTGATTTGGAAGCAAGAAAATGTAATAGTTTAAAGGTCAGGCTTCACACTAAACCCACTTTCCAAATCTTCAACTCTCAGTATCTGTGTGTATAAATAGGTCTTTACTTGTATTTTGCTCTCTTTTTAAAGTGAACACATATCATGTGCATCATGGGATTAGTGAGAGAAAGAAATAAGACCCATATTGAAGCCCTTAAAAGAGATCCTGGAATATTTCAAATGCCCAATAAGTATTAGTTCTTAATAGTTTGGCCTCTTCAGAGGAAGTTTTTCAAACACACTTTCAGTTCAACTCTCAGTCATTACTACTGTGGTCTTCATATGTAACCAAGTAGGTTAAGCCAATCTGGGCCTGAACTTTTCGATTTGCTCTACCTCTGAAATATCCCTTTATTTCTAGAAAAGTCTTCCCTTTAGATTCCAACAATGACTTGGAAAGAAATCAAAATCCATAAATTTCTTTTACTTGATTTCCTCAATTGTAACAATTCATATTTACAACTTGTTGAAGAAATTAGCTACAGACTTGCCTCTGACTCTGGCTCTCTTTACCTCACCCTGTACATTAGAAAGCCATGATCAGACCACTGTAATTTTATACTAAACCACTAGGGGTAACTCTGCTATAGCCTCACTGTGAGAGTTCCTGCTCTTCTCTTAGTCTCCAACAGAACTTTGTCAGTGAAATCACTGATATTTATCAGTGAAATTAAGTTTTCAGATCATCCAGCAAACTGAAGTAATTTATGTTATTTTAAAATTATTTTATTTAAAATAAATTTAACTCTTAAATTTATTTTCAAGGGGATATAATTGTTTTGACCTGGTTATAGATGGTGAAGTAGATTTAAAAAAAAATTTTTTTGTATTTGTAGATGGACAGCATGCCTTTATTTTATTTGTTTATTTTTATGTGGTGCTGAGGATCGAACCCAGTGCCTCACATGTGCAAGGCAAGCACTTTGCCACTGAGCTACAGCCCCAGCCCAGTGAAGTAGATTTTTTTACCCCTTGGTTTCTGTCTTTTTGATCTTTTGTCTGTAGTTATTTCCCTTGGTGAATACTAACCATTTAACTGGATATTCAATGCAGATATCCAGTTTTATAATCCTACAGGAATTATAAAATTTTTGAGAAATTTCGAAAAACCTTAAAAAAATTTTTTTTAAATTATTATTCTGCTTGTCTGGGTTTGAGTGTTGTGAGCTACTGTTTATTGCCAATCACTATCAAATAGGCAACTTCTCTCTTTTTCCTCCCCTCCTCCCTCCAAATATTTGGACCATGGGAGGCTTTTGCAGAATGTTGAAGAATATCTGAAACATGTTTGGGAAACAAATGGATCTCTGGTGCAGGTGGAAAAAAAAATAACCAGAAAATCTGCTTTCTCTGTTAAGAGGGTACATTCTAGCTAGTAGAGAAGTTACAGGATAATTTTAATAGTCAATTATTTTGTTTCCTTTACATGAATGATACATAGAATAAATGCTTGGCTCTGTGAATAAAACTTGGTTTATGAAAATATTTTCTTTCCTTACAGAATTAGTCACAAATAAAAGCATTTTCCTTTTTTTTTTTTTGAGGGAGAACATTTATTTTACTTGTATAATGAGCAGAACAATCCTTATTTGCAAATGAAGAAAACAAAGGCCCATGAAAATTATTTAGTGAGTCTGCAGGTCTTTCAAAGAAAAAAAAAAAAAAGAGAGGGGGAGAGAAAGACACTTAAACAGGAAGGAAGGAAGAAAGGAAGGAAAGAACAAATGATGGTAGGAAGGGAGAAAGGATAGTAGGGAAGGTAAAGGAAGAGAAAAAGAAGGAAGGAAACATATAAGTTGCTAATTTTCCATAAAAAGGACTTTATGAGAGACATTCAGAATAGCATTAAGCTAAAAACTGCATGCAAATACGTAATCTCTTGCCAGTCTGTTATTTTTGTGTTTTCAGGTATCGAATGTTAAGCGAGAATAATTTCCGTGAATGTAAAGCAGAAGGATGGACAAATGACATTCCTATATGTAAAGGTAATATAAAATTTATGTACAATCTCTCAAGATAGCTAAACTATTTAAGCTTTTTCAAAACGTTTGACATCAAAACATCCTTAAGTTTTTAATTAAATATTTTTTATTTTAATTTTTTTTTTGGTTTATAATACAGTGCAGTTCCTTCCCTTGCTGAATACCAACCACTTAACTGGATATTCAATGTGGATATCTAGTTTTATTATCCTACAGGTTGGTGGCTTTAAGAAACTTTTTAAAAATCTGAAAAAGTTGTTCTTTTTGCATTCTGCTTGTCCAGTGCAGCAATGTATCTAGTCATTTTCTCTTATTTTTTATTTTAAAATTTATTTTTGGTACCAGGGAATGAACTCAGGGGTGGCTCAATCACTGAGCCACAGTTCCGTCTTTTGGGGATTTTATTAAGAGGCAAGGTCTTGCAAAGTTGCTTAGGGCCTCACTAAGTTTCTGAGGCTGGCTTTGAATTTGTGATCCTACTGCCTCAGCCTACCAAGTCATTGGGATTACAGATATGTACCAAACACTCCTGACAAGTCATTTTATTATTACATATTTTGTGTTTTGATATATCAAATATAGGAGTTGAGGTTATAGCTCAGTGGTAGTGTGTTTATCAGCCATGCATGAGGACCTGGGTTTTATTTCCAGTACCACAAAAATAAATAAATAGATAAATAAGAGAGAGAGAGAGAGAGAGAGAGAGAGAGAGAGAGAGAGAGAATAAATAAACAGATAAATCCAAATCCCTTGGGATCCTTGTTAAAACTGAGATTTGGGTTACTAAAAAAAAAAAAAAAAGCCTATTGAATCAGTATCTTTGGGGTGAGAGAGAAGCACTCCTAGAATTTTCATTATAACAAGAATCCAGGGTCCTTCTATAGTAAAAAGGTTTGACTTCCATAACTTTGGATAATTGAAAATATAAAGTAAAATCAAAATAAGTACTCAAGTTATTTTGAACACTGAGGTGGAAGAGGAAGGAAATTTAAGAACAATTTTTTATTGAAATAAATATTATGAAGTTTACTTTTATATTTTGTAGAATGCTGGTTTATATTATTTGGGGCATAAATGGAAATTTTGTATTTAGTCATTCTAAACATATATTTCTTAATAATTTGAGCTACTTGTTACCATAAAAATGCAAACTACCATTCAAAGTAGTAGTTGTTTGTTTACTTCCACAGAAAAGAATCAGAGATAAACAGTAATTTTAATGTTACCTAGCTTTTATCTTTTGCAAACAGGTGTATCAAATGCTTCTAAAAATATTTAAGTAATTTCCTTTATTTTATATTGCTGATGATTTTACACACACACACACACACACACACACATATGCACACACAATTTTATTATAAAGTTTTCAAATTCTACTAGAAAAAAATTATTTTTGTTTTTTCAGTTGTTAAGTGTTTGCCAGTGACAGAACCAGAGAACGGGAGAATTATCAGTAGTTCGATAGAACCAGATGAGGAATATTATTTTGGACAAGTCGTGCAGTTTGAGTGTAATTCAGGCTTCAAACATGAAGGACACAAAGAAATATTTTGTTTAGTAAATGGTCATTGGAGCAATGAAAAACCAAGATGTGTGGGTAAGATGTACTTAAATGCTTGCTTGATTGTTCTTAGTTTTTCTTATGAAAATATATATTTGAAAACATTGTACACAATAATGAATATAAAAAATTTTAAAAAGCTAATGTTTATTAAGCATGTACAATATCCCTGTAGTTGATCTTAGTTTTCTATATAAGTCATCTAGTTTCTACCTACAAAACAGTTTTATGATTTATATGTACTAGTATCATCTCTATAATTGAAGAAATTTTGGTGCAAAATTGTTTTAGTCAGCTTCTTGGCTGCTTGATCAAAAAACTAACAAGACCAATTTGAGGAGGAAAAGTTTATTTGAGGTCTCCCTGGGGCTCAAGGGACATGATGGGGAAATAATGAAGTGATGGAAAGTGGCTCAGGACATGATGATCAGGAATGAGAGAGAGAGAGAGAGAGAGAGAGAGAGAGAGAGAGAGAGAGAGAGAGAGAGAGAGAGAGAGAGAGAGAGAGAGAGACTGACTCTCCTCACACATGAGCTTTTGGGTGTTACTTCACATGTAAACCATACAAAAATCAGATCATGCAGCCTAGATTACCATAGCATAGAGTCTAGATTTAAACCTAGGTTATTATCTGACATCAACATCCATACTCTAACCATAAACATATTGTTGTTGGCTCTTTTTTCAGGGTGGTGGGCACCAGGGATTGAACTCAGAGGCACTCAACCATGGAGCCATATCCCTAGCCCTTTTTTATATTTATTTAGACACAGGGTTTGAATTGCTTAGTGTCATGGAGTTGCTTAATGTCTTGCTATTCTTGAGGCTGGCTTTGATCTTGAAATTCTGCCTCAGCCTATGCTGCTGGGATTACAGCATGTTATACCACTCCTGGCTGTTACAGGTTAAAAGAGAATGCTCAGCCTTTCTGTGCTGATCTCCAGAAAAGTCTATTTTTAATCCTGGATGCCAAATATTTATTATTTGTTTCCACTGATGCATCATGATGGCATTATATTTTTGAATAACTCATCTTTGATAACTTATTTCTAGGAAATGATTCTCTTTTTTATTTGTGCTGAAAGTTAATTATGAACTGCTGAACATAATTGAATCCACCAAATAAATAATTTTATTTTAGAAAAATCTCTAAGTCAATTGTAAGCCATGATTTCTTCAATTTATTTTCTCATACTACAGCTGATTTGTATATCTTGATTCATCAATGATTTTGGCTTTTAAGTTAAACATTATGGCCAATTAGTTTAATAGTACCATACTTCATTTAACCTATTCTTGTTGGGAAAAGTTTCTGTCATATTTATTTATTATCTAAAACCTCTGATTTATTCACATTTTTTATCTATTCTACCTTACAGTAAATAGGATACTTAAGAAATTATTTATTTATTTAACAGAATACTGTGATAATAATATTAAGTTAAATACTTTAGAGGTTCATATATGGGATTTCTATGATCACAGCTAGATGTCATGACTAGCAGAACCTTCCTGGAATTGCAGATGCTTAAGGAAAGTCTTACAGGAAGAGAGGGCTGTTTTTAGGTGACCATGAAGAAGGCAAAAGCATGCCAGTCCCAGGAAGGTCAGAAGAGGAACATAGAAAGGCAGTGAGGCTTCAATAAGTGTGAAGTCCTATTGTTCCTTGTCCACTGTCCACAGGGGCCTCGCATAGGATGCAGTCAGGTGATAAATCAGTGATGAACTGAAGATAAGCCAGTACAAGGTACTGAGAAGCTAATGCACCATTCTTAAGAACTTAGCTTTAATGCAGACTGATTTGGGAACTGGTGAAGGATTTCAAGTGGAGGAATAAAGTGACCATTTGGAAGTTTTCATAGTTAAACCCAAGAAAAACAGATTAGGAAGATGGAAGAAGAGGATTTGGGAAAACAGTTATCATTGTCACTATCTCAGGGAAAAGTGTTTGAGAGAAGTGGTGTCAAAGATGATGGGGGCAGTTTTCTGTTGTTATTATTTGTGTGTTTGTTTTGAGAGAAAACCTGTATAGATGGTGAAGACACAAAAGCAGAATCTCAGTTACTTCCAAAGATGTAATGAAAAATGAGTTGAATAAATTTCCTTGAGAAAGTTTTCTGTTGAATAAGTACTCTAATCAATAACAAGAAAATGTTTTATTTTTACAGGTCACTTGGAAAAAATATTTATCACAGTAAATCTGTATTCAATATCACATATACATTTGATGAGAATTACTATAAATCACTGCCAAAGGACTAATTTACCCTTAAACTAAAGTTGAAATATGATTTTACTCAGAATTTTAGCTTCTGGCAAAAATGAAGAACAACAGATGATAACAACTGATGTTAAGAATAACAGATAAAACAGATAGTCAAGCCAAAAGAGAACTTTTGTTTGGTTGGCTGATTTACCTAATGGAAACAAAATTTCTATTTGTATATAAACACAACTTGGTTATAGTCCTTTAGTTCATAATAAACATTTTAGAATTTAATCCCTTGCATTTAGAAATTTCCTGCACATCGCCAGAAATTAGAAATGGCTATTCGGTATCTCCTAAGAAAATTTATAAGGAGAATGAAATATTTCAATATAAATGTAATCAAGGTTTTGAAAACAGTGAAAGAGTAATTGCTACATGCACTAGTTCAGGATGGAGTCCAATTCCTTCATGTGAAGGTAAGGTTATTTTTATTTTCTGTCTCTTTTGTTAAAAATTTTATCAGGCCTGGTGCGGTGGTGCACGTCTGTAATTCCAGGGCTTAGGAGGCTAAGGCAGGTGCATCACAAATTCAAAGCCAGCCTCAGGGACAGCGAAGTACTAAGGAACTCAGTGAGACCCTGTATCTCAATAAAATACAAAAGAGGGCTGGGAGTGTTGCTCAGTGGTCAAGTACCCTTGAGTTCATTCCTTGGTACCCTACACCAAAATAATTTTATTGGTTATTTGTTTATTTATTATTTATTTTGGGGGTACGTGGGATTGGGCCCAGGACCTTCTGTATACTAAGCAAGGATTCTACCATTCACTGAGCTACAGTCCCAACCCCAGTTATTTTAATTAATATAATCATTTTATGTAAGCAATCTATTTTTCTCAAAAAAGAGTATTAAATTTGTAATAATTAAGTGTGCAAAGTCCTTTTGACACTAATTTGTATGATATTCTCTCAAGATAAAAATAAATAGGACCAGAGGCTTAAATATACTATTAAGTAGCTAGTTCATGGTGATAAAACATTCCAGAAGCAGAGCCAGGACTGTCATAGGCTTTCCAATTTTAATAATCTGTAATTCTCAAATACATAGATTGCTCTTCTAAAGCCTAGAATTTGGCTCTAAAGAGTATATTACATTAATATCAGATGAGGTAAATCTCTATTGACAATGGAATTAAAGGGATCCAAAAAGTGGAGGTTTTCGTGAGCAATGGGTCTAATTTGGAACAACAGTGATGATGGTACCACAAAAGAAATCCTAACTCTCAGTTTCTTCATGGAAGGATGTCATGCAGAAAGGCAGAGTGCTTTTCCCCACAAGAAGTATATCTGAAGATTGTGTTCTTTTTTGTCTATCTTCTTTTAAAGGGATGTCTTCTAACTATCATGACTTAGAAGAGAGAATATAGATGATTGAGGAGTTTAAGAAATCATAACCATAAAAAGAATAGCAAGAAGACATAGCTATATTGTAGTAATTCCTGTCCTCAGATATTTGCAAAGCATCTAAAAAGAAACGTTGTATTGGAGCACAACAATGTCCATTTATTTATGTATTGGGTATGGTTACTTTTATATTACATTGCCAGACCTAAGTAGTTGCAAAAGAGACCCTTTACAAAAAAGGTTTTCCAAAAAATAGATTGCAGTATATCAATATCTTAACAAACTACACTTTGTTTCTGGTTTGTGCTCACTTCTAATACAGTTCAGAATGGTCCCTGCACAGTATTTCACTGAAAAATCATTGCAGATTTTATGCATTTTTTTTTTTTGCCAAAAAGTGAAGTGCTACTAAATGTTTCACATATGAAACTTTTTTTTTTAATTGTGCAGGTATTACTTGACATTCTTCATTACTAAACTGTCTTGGTGCAAGATTAGAATGCATGGAATACTCATTAACATATGTTAATGCAGTGGTATGGTAGAGACTTTCTCAGAACAAAAGAAAGATAACATGGCACCATCAAAATCACCATGCACATTCCACAACTCTATTGTAACACTGTTGCAAATCTATAGTATAGAAATATAATGCCCAATTAGAATGTATATTACCTTATATGGGAGACAAAGAGCTAGCAAATAAAGAGGAGCTAACAAGATGTATATAAAGCAACACCTCCTGCTTTTGGGCCTCAGCCTTTGGATACAAATCTGCTGGACCAGTGCCAACACTAATATGCTCTGCTTCCTGTTGAATGCCCTCATTTCTGGTCTCTCTGTGGAAGAATCCTGTAACAGTGGCAATGATAATGCAGTGAAATATAGTAAACTAGTTCTAAGAATCAGGTGAAAAAAGGCATCATCTTTCCAATGTTCTTCTTCAGTTATTGCAGATGTGGAAGTGAGAACATGAAAATTCACACAACGTCTTTTAAAAATCCTTTCTGTTTTTATTTTCATTACATTGAACTATCCAAGTCATATGGCCACTTTTAATTCAAAGAAGGGATGTGATATCCTACCAGTTGTGTGGAAAGAAGAGTCTATGTATATTTGTAAACAATCCTTATGAGAGCAACAGTGCCCAAAGAAATAGAAGAAAGTGGAAGATATATTTGAAGTTATAAATGATGAAGTCATTGCCAGACATGGAGTATCATGAAGTATATGATAGCTTTGGACAAAGGGATTTAGAGTTCAGGAGAAACAAATATATTGGTGAAAACCACAGTAAGTTAAACAGGAGTGATATATGAGGATATATACATAGTGATATGTGAGGATATATTTATTTTAATGTCATTTTGTGCTCCTCTAGGGACAAATAAATATCACCTATAGTCTTACTTTCATATACTTAATTTTAATGGATACTGATTTTCACACTATTCACACATCCTATTTTTTTCCCAGAAGTAACATGTAATCCTCCTTATATTCCAAATGGTGTTTACTCACCTGAAAGGATTAAGCACAGAACTGAAGATGAAATCAGATATGAATGTAAAAGTGGTTTTTATCCTGCAACCAGGGGAAATACTGCAAAATGTACACGTAGTGGCTGGATACCTCCTCCAAGATGTAGCTGTAAGTTTCATTTATATCTTGACCTATTTTGTAATTCTGAATTGATTTTTTCTCCTAAACACACACACACACACACACACACACACACAGAGAGAGAGAGAGAGAGAGAGAGAGAGAGAGAAAGAGAGAGTGACAAGACCAAATAGTTGTCTGTTTATGTACATGATATGTACATAAAGTAGAGCCTTTAAAAGCATTCTTTACTTTTCTTAGTATGAAAATCACATTTTAGTAAACTAAAAACAGTTTCTTGCAACTGAAAAAATATATGTATGTGTATAAGTGTATTTCTCTAATTAATAAAATTCTTCCAATATGTGAATAAAACATTGGGTGAAAATACTACCTTCTAACCGATAATATGTTAGTTATTTGTTTCATTAAAACAAATATCCCCCCAAACATATTTAATACCAAACATTTGTTGTCTGACAGTGTCTGTGGGTGAGGAATTTGGGAATGACTTCCCTGGGTAGTTCTGAGTCAGTTTCTTCTTGTGGTGCAGTCAGTACATCAGTGTAATAGACTGTTCTGCAGGATCAGTTTCCCACATGGTTCATTCACAGATTTTGGCAGGAGGCCTCAGCTCCTGACCACATGGGCCTCACCTTAGGTTACCTGAATGACAGCTAACTTTCTCCAGAGCTACTGATCTGAGTGAGTGGAGGCCTGAATACCACTTAGGATCTACTCACATACTCTTGCTACCACCACATCTGTTCTTCAGAAATGAGACACTAAGTCCAACATGCCCGGAAAAGGAGAAAAATAAAGCTCCCCTATTGTGAGAGAGGAGTGCTGAAGGACTTATGTAGTTTCCCAGAAATCTTACATGTGGCAAAATTCCATTCTGGTCAAGACTTTTTTATTTATGGAATGCTTTCTTGGCCCTCTTCAAGTTTTAATTTGTCTCCATAGTCATATTCCTTTTCTTTCTATCTAGCAGTACATTTTAAAGGTGTATCACACTTAAACAAAAATGTGATGACACAATGATTGGTCAATGAGTTCAATGTTAGTTCTAGGCAAAATTCCAGTCACTAACAGAGAAAGCTTTTATAACTGTGAAACAAATTTCAATGTGCATAAGAACTATAAGGTCAATGTTTAGTGATTTTATAGTTGACTTTGACAATACGGATTTGCTCAAATATATCTGAACCTGCCTTCCACAGGTTCTTATGGATAAGACAATGAAATTGATGAGTTAGGTGGTTTATCTCTTTGCAATTTCATTAAATAATCTTATCTGATAACCGACCAAAAGAACTTTCTTCTCAGAACAACTCCATTACTCATTGGTGACATCAAATTATTCAGTGGCTCAGGGAAAATGTAGTATAAATTCACAACTTGAATGACACAAAGGATGATGTTAGTGAATCTACACTAGGACATATCATTCAAAGAAAATCCTACATGTCAAATTGAATCAAATAGGATAAACTTCTGCAATGGTAACTATAAAATCCTGGGCTTGAGTCAAAGAAATAAACTTCCCTAGGACAGATGGATTAGCAACAGTTATGAAAATTAGTGAATATTCAATTTTAAGATCAGTTTGACTCAACACTAGGATGGAACAACTATAGCTGGTAATGAGACTATGACCTACATTTAGTGAAAGTATAAGCAGGTGGATTCTCTTAGTAGAATGAGGCTTTTATGAGAACCACCCATCTCTGCTGATCAGTCCCTAGTGGAATATTAAATTTGCTTCAAGGAATACCCTTTTAATGAGGTTTAGATGTGCACACATGAGTGTGAAGAATATAGCCAAGTGCCTCTGGCCTATCAAAATAATTATACCTGTCAATTCTCTGCTTTTTGTGCATTTTGAAAAGAGTGAACTAATTTATTTTATTGATGTTCCATGAAATAGCATGAGGAGGTGAATAAACACATTTGTTCTGCAACCACCAGGTTCAAATTTCTTATCTACAAGTGGGAAATTTAATTGATTAATCTTAAAATCTTACTTCTTGCAACTCAAAAGACTCAAGCATGTCCAAGGCACAGTTCTTGTTGACTAACACAAGTTTGAACAGTTCATGATGTAATTTCTAAAACCCATGGGTTAATATAGAATATTCAAAATCTTTAAAAAAGCATTACAGGGGAAAAAGTGAATGTTACATAAAAGGAACAAGACTAAATGCTAAAAAGCATTTTAATTTCAACACTGGAAGCTTCATAAAAGTGAGGAAGTATTTGTCAATGATAAGAGATACGGACTGTAGACCAAGAAAGTATACTTATAAGAAATCATTTTCTCATTTTGTTTAAAAAAAAGACATTTAGGTTGAGCAAGAATTCAAAATATATAATCCAAAATTCAAATAATATATCCATAATAACACTGAAAATAAATAGCCTTAACTCACTCATTTAAAGACATAGACTAGCAGAATGGATCCAAAAATAAGATCCAACCAAATTCTGTTTGCAAGAGATTCATTTCATAGGTAAAGGCACTTGCAGACTGAAGGCAGAAGGATTGAAAAGAATTTTCTTCATGCAAATGAACTCTGAAAACAAGCTGGAGTAGCCATTCTTCATATCTGACAAAGCAGATTTCAATCAAGAATTAATCCGAAGAGAAAAAGAGAGCCATTATATCCTAGTAAAGGAAACAACCTAACAAGAAGAAATAATAATAGTTAATATAAATGCCCCAAATGTCAACATATTACATTAAAAAATACTTCTTAAGGGGCTGTGTCTGTGGCTCAGCAGTAGTGCACTTGCCTGGCATGTGTGAGGTACTGGATTCGATTCTCAACACCTCATATAAATAAATAAAATAAAGGTCTATTAAGAACTAAAAAATAATAAAAAAAATACTTCCTGACATTAAATCCCAGATATATCTCAATACAGTAATACTGGAAGATTTCAATACATCCTTATCACTAATAGACAGGTCATCAAAACATAAAATAAATAATGATATACCCAAACTGTATGTATTCAAACTCAATTTATTCTTTTTCCCAGCAGTTCATGGAACCTTCTCCAAAACAGACCGTGTTCCATGTCAAAATGTACGTCTAAGCAAATACACAAAGAAAATTGATATAATCCCATGCATCCTATTAGAACATACTAAAATGAAACTAGAAATCAAAAGCAAGAAAAATAGCAGAAATCACATAAACATGTGGAGTTTAAACAATATCCTTTTAAGAAGGATGGATCAAAGAATAATTGAGGGAAGAAATAAAAAATATTTAGAAACAAATGAAACCAAAGATATATTAAATCTCTGAGATAGTATGAAAGCAGTACTAAGAGTAAAATTTATTTCATTGAGTATCTACATTAAAAATATAGAGAGAGACCAAATAAATAAGCTTATGTTACACTTCAAGATCTTAATTACAAAATCAGTAGAAGGTCAGAGCCAAAATTAGAAGAAAACATAGGATCAACATTCCATCATATCGGTGCAGGCACTGACTTTCTGAATGAGACACCTAAAGCTCACAAAATAAAGCTAAGAATCAGTAAGTGGGATGCCATTAAATTAAAAAAAAGATCCTGTCCAGCAAAGAAAATGATGAAGAGAGTTGAAGAGAGAGCCTCTGGAATGGGAGAAAATATTTGTCAGTTACTCCTCTGACAAGGGAATAATATCCAGAATATATAAAGAACTAAAAAAAACCTCAAATCCAAAAGCAAACAAACTCAAACAAGCAAACAAATAGAAATAGGCCAATCGATAAATGGCCAAAAGAACTAAACAGAAACTTCTTAAAAGAAGAAACCCATCATGCTAAGCGAAATAAGCCAATCCCCCAAAACAGGTGCTGAATGTGTTCTCTGATAAGTGCATGCTAATCCATAATGGGGTGGTGGATGGGGTGAGTGGAGGAACTTTGGAATGGGCAAAGGGAAGGGGGGAGGGGATATGGGGGTAGAAAAGATAGATACATATATGAATGGTGTGACTTTACGTCATGTACAATCAGAGAAGTGAAAAATTCTGCTCCGTTTATGTACAATGAATCAAAAAGCTTTCTGCTGTCATGTATAACAACTAATAAAAATGAATAACAAAAAAGAAACACAAATGGTCAACAAATATATGGAAAAATGTTCAGCATCTCTAGCAATTAGGGAAATGCAAATCAAAACTACACCAAGAGATATGGACTGTAGACCAAGAAAGTACACTTGAAAGGAATCAATAATTATTAATATCATGAATAATAATAAATGCTGGTAAGGATTTTGAGCAAAAGGTGCACTTCTGCATTATTGATTGGACTGCAAATTAGATCAATCACTCTGGAAACCATGGGGAGATTCCTCAAAAACAAAACAAAACAAAACAAAAACTAGGATTTAAACTGCCATATGACCCAGCTATCCCACTCTCAATGTTTCTCCAAAAAGCCTAAAAATCAGCATCCTATTGTGATTCAGCCACTTCAGTATTTACAGCAGCATAATTCCCAAATTATGGATTCTACCCAGAAGCCCATCAATAAGGATTAGAAATGTATTAGTAAAATGTGGTACATACATACAAAAGAGTTAACTCAGCCATAAGAGTGAAATAATGACATTTGCTGATGAATGTATGGAAATGAAGAAAAATCATGCTAAATGAAATAAACCAGACTTGGAAACTCAAAGGTTGAAAGTTTTCTCTCATATGAGGAAGTTTTAGTAAATTTAGGGAAAGAAGGCAGTGGGAGTGGGGATCAGATATCATAAAGATATAGGGAAGATCAGTGGTAGTAGCTATTGGAGAATGAGAGGGAAGAAGGAAGAGAAAGAGGAAGATAAATGGCATGAATTTAACCAAATCATGTCATATTCATATATAAACATCCCAAAGGAAATTTCCCTTTTGCATGTGTAATAGAATGAAATTTTAGTAGAGAAGAGGAGGGAACATGAGGGAGAAGAAGGGAGGAAAAGGTTGGATGGGGCTTGAAATAAAATTTCTTGCATATTTGATTGTGTCAAAATGAACCCAATATTTATGATGTTCTAATACAAAAGATGAGCAAAAATTCAAAGTGTATAATGCGAATTACCATTTTTAAGAGTAGAAACATTTTGAAAATGGTCTGCAATCAAACATAAAGGAAAGTGGAAAAATTAATTGACGTTGTAGTATATTTATTGTATGTGTGTATACATGAAGGCGATGAGGGGATTCTTTATAACATATCATGCAAGATTTCTTGAAATAGAATCATATTACATGGAAAAAATTAATAGTATTTGTATAGTAAAAGGACTAGGTTTTCTCTAAACAATCTCATGAAAGAGTACTTTTTCAAGAAAATAAAAATAAACCTGACAAAATAAATAACAGCACTTAAATTTGTGTTAAATTACTTAATATATAAGAATAAGTCAATAAGATATAATCATATTATACCTCATTGAAAAACATTTTAGCACATTAAAAATATCTCATTTCCCAACTGAAACTAGAATAAAACTATTGTTTATTATAACCTTATCTATTTTGATACTAACAAATTTTTCTAGTTGATTTCTCTGGTGACTGAAAAGATATCATTTGACTTCACTAACAAAGACCTCACAGAGCATAATCATCTGATTTCTGTGACTTATCTTTTCTTGAAAACCTTGTAATTATGTTAATAATAAGACATAATTCATTACTTAAATGGTTTATTTCTGATATGTTGCTCAATAAAATAAAATATTATTCATCTTATTTTTTTATCACAAGTGAAACCTTGTGATTTTCCAGAGATAAAACATGGACGTCTATACTATGAAGAAAGATATAGACCATACTTTCCAGTACCTATAGGACAACGATATACCTATGAATGTGATAACAATTTTGTGTCTCCTTCAAAATCATACTGGGGTTACATTTATTGCACAAAAGAAGGGTGGCTGCCAGAAGTACCATGCATCAGTAAGTAAATGTCTTTACAATGATACATGTATCTTTCAAAGAGGAAAGAAAGAAGCACATAAGTATTTACAGTTAAGTCTTGCATGACAAATTAGGGCCAAGGGAAGAATTGTGTGTGCAAAAAGACCCAATTAGTTTTTGTCTTTTATAAGAAGCTCTTCATAAAAATCACATGAAAACCAAAGTTACAAGAAAACCTGTATCATTTATACATGTTTTAGCTACAAAATTAAAGATGAATTCAATGTTATTGATTTTTATTTTTTAACAAACATTTGGTATAGTAGTTTTGGGTTTTTTCTTAATTGCTCATTTTTCGGATGCTTATGCATTTTCTAAATATTATAAAGGTAATTTTTAATCCAATATTTTGTTCAAATTAATGTTTTCACTTTTTATCACTTTATGCTCCTTAGGACAATGCATTTTCAATTATGTGGAATATGGATATTACTCACGTGAAACAAGACATTTACTGCATGAGTCTGTTAAAGTTGATTGTTATCCTGGCTATAGTCTTTCAAATGGTCAAAACACAGTTACATGTACAGAGAATGGCTGGTCCCCTCCTCTCAAATGCATTCGGATTAGTAAGTAAAATGCTCTGATATCCATACTCGTGATTTTTTAAAGGCCCATCTACATTAAACTGGGGCAAAATATTTATAACAATTTGTTTTCATGTTTCAAGTGTGTAAAAGTGGAAATCAAAATTTATTAATAAGTATGTAGCACAATAAGTGCACGTTAGTAAACAATATTCAAGAATATAGTAAAGAATTTGAATACAGGGGCTGGAGCTGGAGCTCAGTGGTGGAACACCTGCCTTGCATGTGTGAAGCCCTGGGTTTGATGCTAAGCACCATATAAAGAATAATAAATTTAAAGGTATTGTGTCCATCTAAAACTAAAAAAAATAAAATAAAAATAAAAAAGAATTTGAATACAACATTTTTTGGTTTAATTAAGTCATATGCATATACATTGAAATTAATCATTTGACTCAAAATTATTATAAAATTATGTTATAAATAAAAAATAAATACAATAAGAGTAAAAGATGTCAGTCAAGAAGTGATGGGACATTTTTGCAGTCCTGCCCTTTGTCTCTGAGTATTTCTGGGACATGTAACAGAAATGGGTCTTCTGGGACATTGTGCATATTTTGTTTTAGGTTTTCTGTAGTGCTTGTACTACTATACATTCTGGTCAGTGCTGCATTCTTGCTCTATGTTCTTGATAATGATTAAGTGATGTTGTATCTTAATATTTACTAGATAAATGGCAATAAGGTGGTAAAACACTGAAGTCTTGATATGTGCTTCTTCTATTAATAATTGGGTTTAGCATACATTGTTATGGGCTAATGGGTAGTTCATTTTTTAATCTGTAAAATGCAGATTGATTTTTTTTTTTAGATTATCTTTTTGGAAGCTTTGATTTTTGTTGGATTCTTAGTAATTCTAAATATCATTTTTCTTTCAATTATATGTATTACATATGTGTTCTTAATTTATATGGCTTTTATTTTTTCTTTAATGTTTACTATGAATAGTATTGTTCCTTTCACTATAAAAATATCAGTGAATTTTATTGCATATTCGATTGTGTCAAAATGAAACCAATATTTATAATGTTCTAATACAAAAGATGAGCAAAAATTAAAAATGTATAATGCAAATTAACATTTTTAAGAGTAGAAACTTCTTGAAAATGGTCTGTAATCAAACATAAAGGAAAGTGGAAAAATTAATTAGAAGTTGTAGAAGTCTTCAGAAAGTAGACATACTTTTTATTCTAAAAGTTATATTTTGTCTTCATATTATTAATTAATTTTCAGGTGCTTTTTATGCATGATAATGACATTATTTCCTTTTAAAAACAATATGGGAAAATTCAACATTTCCCCAGGAATCCTATATTGTACCTTTTTATATATCATAAAAATGGATACTATTTATAATGTGTATTCTATTTTGCAATATTAGCAAATAATGTTTTAGTAATCTTCTACCTTAATCACTGAAGATTCATAATAAGTATCGATATCTAATCATGACTTTTCATCCCAATCTTTTTTGTATCAGTTTCTTTGGGAGATGACACTTTGATCTTCTGAAAACTTTTAAATTTAGCTTACTATAGTACTTTAATTACCCTGTTTAGATTTTGTTTGCAGTTCTCTTGAGTCTGCAGAATAATTTACAAAGAATTCACAGCTTATGAGAATGAAGTATATTTCTATGTATGTATTTCTACATATATATTCTATTTATCATATCTAGGCCTTTTAATACACATTTTTGTTCATGAGAAGCTTTGAGCTTTTCTGGACTTTATTCTTTGTAGGTAACAGGTCTCTCCATTACTTGTTTGAGCTCTAAGAATGTTCTTTTATCTTTGGAAATTTTAAGTTTTACAAGATTTATATTATTAATTTGTTTAAAATTTGTATTGAGCTTTTGTTTGATGGTTTTTAACTTTCTCTTCAGAACAATTTTTTGCTTATATTCTTATTTTTCCTGTATTTTTTTCTATCCAAAGTGTTTGTTATTTGGGTTAATCTGCTTTGTACATATAACTTTTATTTCTATGTCTTTTCACTTTTTATGTTCTATGTAGACAGATTGCTTTGACTTTTTTCTTTCAGTAACTTAATTATATTTAAAAATGTTTAAAAACTGCATATTTAATTTGTAAGGGCTGATTTTAAAAATTATATTAGTATGTATTTATAATATAGACTAAAGGGCGTTGTTGTGACATATTCATACCTGCACATGATAGTTTAATCAGTTTCATTCCCCACTACCTCCTCTGGCCCTTCTTTCTCCCTTGCCTGGTCACTTTCTCACTTTTCAATTTCTAAGGGTTCACTTTTTAAAAAGATAAACTTTATTTAGGTATGAAGTATATACAAAGAAATTCACATGCTTTTAGTGTGAAGGTGAAAGACTTTGATAAATTATATAAGTATAAACATAATGAAGTTTGAGATAGTTTTAAAATTATGAGAAAGTTCTCTGGTTCTTTATCCACTGAGTCTACCCTCAATTCCATCAACATAGGTAATCAATGTTATTTCTGTCACTACAGATTAGTTTGCCTTTTGACAACTTTGTTATCAATAGATTTACACAGCATATTCATTTATATTTGGCTTTATTTTTCAGCAAAATATAATTTTTTTCTGTTGTTTCTTGCATTAACAACTATTTTTTTTCATTATGAAGTCACATAACATTATACAAATCGATGAGTATTTGGTTTTCTATTCCACTACTAATGAACATTTGGGTTATTTTCATGTTTTGGTAATTATGATTGCACTCTTTATGAACATTTGAACAAATGTTTGAACAAAGTCTTTGTATAGGCATATTTTTACTCTTTATCTAGGATAGATTTCTAAAAGTGAAATTGCTGAGTCATATGATATGTACATGACTAAATCTATAAGAATCTGCCATATTGATTTTCAGGATTATTGGAATATTTTATACATTTGATTGGCCACATATAAGAGTTCTAATTGACTTGCATCTTCGCTGACAAATAGGATGGCTAGTTTTAAAATTTTAGCCACATTAGCATATATGTAGTGGTATGTCATTGTGCTCTCATTTTATTTTCCTGGTTGACTATGGTGAGCTCTATTATATCTGCTTAGACATTATATCTGCTGGGACATTGTTACACTTTTTTGTTTTTGTAAATTTCAATGTTTTTCCCATTTAAATTGTGTAGATTATCTTATCATTCCATTGTGATAGTCCTTCATATAGTTAAGATGCAATTCCATTATCAGATATATGTTTATACATATTTTCTCACAGTTTGTGATTTTCTTCTGAGGTTCTAAGAGATTGTTTCCAGTAATATATATTCTACCTTTTGATGAAATCCAAATTAATAATTTCTGTGAGTGATTTTTTTGATCTATATAGATCATTTTTGCCAATGCTAAATTTGCTCAAAAATTGCCATATTTTTCCAGTAATATTTCTATGTCTCATATTCATATGTTTATTGACATATTGTTATGATTTTTATGAAATGGAATTTATTTTATATGGATTTCATTCTTAAAAAAAATAAAAATTTTAGAACTTGTGTTTTAATTGAATATGCATTTATTTACTGGTACCAAAGATACCCATATATCCCAAATATCCATTTTCCCCTTCTTATAACAGAATCTGCATACATTGTCTGGGCACATGAACATCTAGAATAAAGACTCCTTCCAATTTAGGTATATCTACATAAATAAGTTTTGAACAATACAATATAAGGGAGAGTGGTATTTGTGTTTTTTGATCAATGAGAGACTTGCACATTTGTCAAGAAATTGTTAAATGTAGGTTTTTGTGGTTTTTTAAAATACATATTTTTGATTTGTATTTGGACATAATACCTTTATTTTATGTATTTATACGTGATGCTGAGTATTGAACCCAGGGCCTTGATCATGCTAGGCAAGCGCTCTACTGCTGAACCACAACCCCAGCCCAGTTTTTGTGTTTTTTAGAGGCTTTTTATTCCTTTATTTTTTAATTGATGTATGTATTTATTTCTTATATTAATATACTCTGTCTTGTTTACTGATGTATGAGTCCTCCACCTTTGTTCTTAAGTGTAGTAGAAATAATAATGGCCTCCTAAAAGATGTCTATGTTATCATTTTTGGAATCTGAAATGCGTTACTTTAAATGATAAAATGGACTTTAGAGATGTTACTTTGACCTTGAAATACGGAGAGTATTCTGGATCATCTGGGTGAAATCAAGATAATGTGTGGAAAGAAAGAGAGAAGGAGGGAGAGAAAGAGAAGGAGTTATATTACTGTGGTAAAGGGTCAGATAGAAGTTCAATTGTTTCTGAGTTTGAAAATGAAGGAAGGGGACATAAGCCAAACAAAGGGGAAAGCCTCTGGAAATGGAAATGACAAGAAAATTGATTCTTCCCTCAATCTTCCAGAAAGGGATGTACCTCTTACAACATCTCAATTTTACCTCAGTTATACATGACATATTTTTGATATTTGGAATTTTAAGATAAAAACTTAGTGTTGTTTGAATTTATAAGATAATGAAGTCTTTTTACAGAAGCAATAAAATACAAATACATTATTTTTAAAAATAATTTGCCTTGTCTAGCTGTTTTCCATTTTATTTTACTTTTGATATCACCTTGTTGATTTCTATAAAAATTCTGCTGGGGTTTGATTGAGAGTGAGTGTAATATGTATATAATTGGGAGATTCATATTATAAAAATATTAATTCTTCCCTTTCATGAACATGGTAGGTCTATTTATTTAGGTCTTCTTTAATCTGTTTAGTAATCTTTTTAACTTTTAAAATGTGGGTTATGTACATATATTGTTAAATCTTTTCTTAGGTAGCAGGAGATTTTTAAAATAATATTACATATTATATTTATTTTTCCATTTTTATTAAATCACATAGGATTCTAATGTTTTTCTTGTATATTAGGATCTTATTAAATTTACCATTGATTTTGCAGTATATATCCCTCTGATTACATTCTTAAAGCTTGTTTGTGTAACTAATTATACTATAAATCTATATATTCTTAGATAATTTAGATATGCTTATAAAGGGTGTCTCCAGGGTAGTTTTGAACATTAAATAGAAAATTATTAATCACTACATGCTGTATCTCATGCTTATCTTGGTCAAGGTTTAACACTGGAATTCCTAACATCTTTGGAGATAACCACAGAAGGTATTATTCCTCTATCAAAAGAATCCTGTCCTGACAGTTTATCTTCCCATTTATTGGTCAACTTTTTTTAGTTAAAAGTATCTCATTGTCATTCTTTTTCATGAATTTTTAATAATATGTATCGAATTGAAAAAGCAAAAAAGAAGAACTACTGGTATGTAGGCATTGCTTTCCAGAAACATTAGAGTGTTAATAAATATTTCAGCATAAATTTATCTATAAAGTGTGTTACTACCCCTGATTGTCTACTCCATGAATACAATATGAATATGTACTTTTACGTTGTGTTTTTTCATTTGGAATGCCTCCCAAAGGCATGTGTGATAAATGCTTGATCCTCAGCTGATAGCACTATTAGGAGATGGTAGAAATTTCAGGAGGTGGGGCTTGGTTGGAAGAAGTTTACTGGCAGACGTGTCTTTGAAGAGTTTATTTTGTCTCTAGCCTCTGTCTCTGTCTCTGTCTCCATCTCCCCTCCCACTTTCTCTGTTTCATTCCAGGCCCATAGCAATGGAGGCAGCCACCATGGACTAAAACCTTGTAACTTTGGGCTAAAATAAATCTTTCCCATTTATGTCTTTTTTTTGGTGGGGGGAGCGGAGTGAGTATTTTGTCATGAGCGAAAGCTGACATATTTTGTAACTAAATTATAGGCTTTCCATATATTTTTATAAAGGTGGTATTTACCTGACTTATACATTAATTTGAATATTCCAAAGGCAGTTACCCTTAGCAAGCACTAAGCTTGTTAATAGTTGGTATGGAAGGCATAGTGAACTCTTATTCTGAATTGGATCCAGTTTATGAAGCATTCTTTACTTTGAATATTGACAGTCATCCACAAAACAAAGAATTCTCCATCCACAAAGATATCATCTACATGGAAAAATATACCCTGTTCATGGATATGCAGAACTAACATCATCAAAATGGCGATATTACCAAAAGTTCTCTATAGGTTTAATGCAATGCCAATCAAAATCCCAACGGCATTTCTTGTAGAAATAGATAAAGCAATCATGAAATTCATATGGAAAAATAAAACACCCAGAATAGCAAAAATAACTCTAAGCAGGAAGTGTGAATCAGGTGGTATAGTGATACCAGACCTCAAACTATACTACAGAGCAATAGTAACAAAAACAGCATGGTACTGGTACCAAAACAGGCGGGTGGACCAATGGTACAGAATAGAGGACACAGAAACCAATCCACAAAACTACAACTATCTTATATTTGATAAAGGGGCTAAAAGCATGCAATGGAGGAAGGATAGCATCTTCAACAAATGGTGCTGGGAAAACTGGAAATCCATATGCAACAAAATGAAACTGAATCCCTTTCTCTCGCCATGCACAAAAGTTAACTCAAAATGGATCAAGGAGCTTGATATCAAATCAGAGACACGGCATCTGATAGAAGAAAAAGTTGGCTACGATCTACATACTGTGGGGTAGGGCTCCAAATTCCTCAATAGGACACCCATAGCACAAGAGTTAATAACTAGAATCAACAAATGGGACTTACTCAAACTAAAAAGTTTTTTCTCAGCAAAAGAAACAATAAGAGAGGTAAATAGGGAGCCTACATCCTGGGAACAAATCTTTACTCCTCACACTTCAGATAGAGCCCTAATATCCAGAGTATACAAAGAACTCAAAAAATTAGACAATAAGATAACAAATAACCCAATCAACAAATGGGCCAAGGACCTGAACAGACACTTCTCAGAGGAGGGCATACAATCAATCAACAAGTACATGAAAAAATGCTCACCATCTCTAGCTGTCAGAGAAATGCAAATCAAAACCACCCTAAGATACCATCTCACTCCAGTAAGATTGGCAGCCATTATGAAGTCAAACAACAACAAGTGCTGGCAAGGATGTGGGGAAAAGGGTACACTTGTACATTGCTGGTGGGACTGCAAATTGGTGCAGCCAATTTGGAAAGCAGTATGGAGATTTCTTGGAAAGCTGGGAATGGAACCACCATTTGACCCAGCTATTCCCCTTCTCGGTCTATTTAAAAGCTATGTTTCTATAAATATAGTTGTACTTTTCTGTTACTTTCCCACATCTTTAGTTTTTTAATTGATAATCTTCCTCTTTTTTAAAGATTTACTTAACTATTTTTTTTTTGCTTTTATTGGTGCATTATAGTTGTACATAACATCTTTAAACTGTGTTTTAAGAATAACAAATTATTCTTCAAACTATGTTTTTAATTCTTGACTTATTCTCTAAAGAGATGCATCTTTCAGTTTTTATTTTAAGAGGCTAAAATGTTAATTAAAGAGCAAGATAATTGTATACCAAAGAGTGATGCTATATAATCTTGTTACTCTTATTTTTTGTTGAATTTAAAAATTCATGTTGCACTTATGGACTTTGTAATATTTGTTGTACTCAAGGGGAAATATTTCATTCTCAGTGGCTTTTAAGGGGATAAAATATCTATCAGTGTTCTAGTGAAGGATAGCGAAGAGATTTAAAGGCATGAAAGGTTAGCTCTGACAAAAAAATATTGCTATATCTTCTTTTACTTGTATTACATGTGAATTTATTAAAATCAGAAAAGTTCTTCATGACAAAGTATCTATTAATCTTCAATCCAATTTAAAATGTATTCAGAATCTTATTCATTGTTTAGCTACTCAAAATGAACACTAGGTGGAGATACTTTCTTTTCTTTCTATTCAGATATTTCCTGTGTGAATCCACCCAAAGTGGAAAATGCTAATATAATATCAAACCAGATGCTTAAGTATCCGTCTGGTGAGAGAGTACGTTATGAATGTATCAAACCTTTTGAAATATTTGGCGAAGTAGAAGTGATGTGTCTAAATGGAACTTGGACAGAGCCACCTCAGTGCAAAGGTAGAAGATCATATTTCCTAACTTTTCTTTGCTTGAGGACATAATGTGAGTAAAATATGTTGATAAAAATAAAGTCAAGTCATTCTTATGGATTATATTTTTCAAATGCAAATAATATGATATTGCTAAAGATTTATTTTCTGGCAAAATGAACTAAGAAATATGGTGTATTTTTTTCAAGACACATTTAACCAGATTAATAGAACAGTTACAATCTGAGAAAATTCCTCATCTTAAAAGTTAAGACACTCAGTACATTTTGACAACTCCAAGAGATATCTACTTTGAGAAACAGAAAATAGGTCAGGAAGACTGATCATAGAATATAAATATACATTTGGGCATCTTCTGTATATAGAGTATATTTGAAAATATGTTACTGAGGCCAGCCAGGGAATCACTATATTTATAAAAATAAGTTTGGATATTAGGTCACCAGCATTCTAATATTTAGAATTCAGGAAATGAATAATAGAGATATTATATCATCCATTTCTATTTTTAAAAATTAATTTTTCCTAATTTATTTTCTCTCACTTTACTTTGATTCTACCTTTGGCTAATGATGAAGTCAGTTTTATGTAAACCACAGAATTAGGTCTCCTTTACGTATCTATCTTGCCCTACTTGCTCTTTCCTCTAGTATATTTAGATCATTTATATTTAAAATAAATATTGGGCTTTTTGTTTCTTGTTTTATTTGTTTATTTTCTCTATTTCTCATTCTTGTTTCTGATCTCTTCCATTCTTTTCAGGGAACAGTTTAAAAGAATTTCATTTTGATTTATCTTCCTGGTTTTGAGTGTATCTCTATGATAGCTTCCCTCACTACCTTTCTTTTTAAAATTGTTGCTTTAGGAATTACAATATATACATAGTATATTTGCAACTTACCACTCTACTAGTAATGGCATTTTATTTTCGATCAAAACATGAGAACCTTGCTTCCATTTAAATCCACTTACCCTTTAGTGTTTCCTGTTCATACAGTGAACATTGTTACCAAATGATATAATTTTCTTTCAAACATCAAACATAAATAAACATAAATGAACAAACTGAGGAGGAAAAGTCTATTATATTATATTTTCTTCCTTTTAGTAATTACAGGAGCGAGAAAATGACACTGTAATTGATAAAAGGACTAATATATAATATAATAGACTTTTTCCTACTTGGTTTATTTGTTTGATAACTCAATTATTCTTTCTTCCTTCTTTCTCCAGCATTTTCTTTTCCTCTAAAGGTCTCTGAAGTTTGATTGATTCATTGATTTATTTTTTCAGTCTATTTTCACACTGGGTAATTTATGTTGTTATATCTTGAAGTGCATGGATTTATCCTTCTGTCATCCTCAAACTGTTCAGTCTGTACAGTGAGACATTTTGTTTTGTTTTTAATTTGTTATATTTATCTGTTCTAAACCCTACTGAGCTTTTAAGAAACATTGACTATCAATATCTTTATCACATCAGTATTCTCTTTTATTATCTTTTTGTTTTTAAATGTTTCTGATCCTTAATATGATGAGTAATTTTTAATTTTATACTTGATATTTTAGGTATTACATTTGAGACCCCCCCCCCATTTTATTTAAATTTCCTGTTCAGTGGTTCTCCATTACAGCCATGCTGGATTTAAGTCCAGGTTTCACATTCGGCCTCTACAGGCATACAGGATCTCTTCTGCCACCCCTATATGTGGGTGGTCTCTGGTCATCAGTGACTTATGATGTTTTTATTATTTTCTCTAGATTAGGTCATGTATTGTTTTAAAGATCTCGTAGACTAGCAAGGCTGCTCCCTTCCTTGTCCTTAGGTTAAAGGGATGAGACTCTGCATGAGCTTTTCCTTATTTATCTCTACCTTATATCATTTCTGAGATTACCAGCCTTCTCCAGTGCTCCATCTAGAACACACAGGAGCCCCAAAGTGAACTCATATAGCAACCTGTTTGCCATTCCTTAAGTCCTGAAGTTCCTAGCCAGAGTGAATTCTCTGCACCTTCTAGAGTCTTCTTATATTGGCATTTAAAAATTATTATGTCCAAGATTATAAATTATGCTTAGCAAAAGGGGATAGAAAAGACAGTGGAATGAGATGGACATTATTACCCTAAGTACATGTATGAAGACAAGAGTGGTATGACTATACTTTGTGTACAGAGATATGAAAAATTATTCTCTATATGTGTCATATGAATTGTAATACACTCTGTGTCATATATAACAAATTAAAATTTTTAAAAACTCAACATAAAAAGCCTGAAAAAAAAGGAATAGGTGACAATGATTTTTACTCATCTTGTCCAGATTAGGATGACAATATTTCCCTATTATTTTTTACAAATTTACTTCCTTTGAACTTTTTTCAAGGAGTTTTGTTTCTTTTGTAATAAAAAGGAAAATTAAAAAGAAGTCAGTAGGGACACAATAAACACTGTGTAGTGTCATATATAATAACAGGAAACTTTCTTAGTTTGTCCTCGATATCTACCTCTTCAGCATTTATATATTAACACACATTTTTTAGTATTGAATCACTAAAAAGCAGACATATTTGTTGATGGTTTATATGCACCTTCAGTGAGATGAAAAGAAGAGCTTAAAATGTAACTCTCATTTTCTATAATTAAGATTTCTGTGAGCAATCATTTGTTACCAGAAATCATAAAATCTTCATGCTATCTAGAGTGATGTGTTTGTGCTGGCTTTAATTTTATCCTGTATTTTGATTTGTTCTCTCATAAATGAAATGGTATTTTTCAGATTCCACAGGAAAATGTGGGCCTCCTCCACCTATTGACAATGGAGACCTCACTTCATTCCCATTACCAGTATATCCTACGGGCTCATCAGTTGAATATCAGTGCCAATCCTTATATCAACTTGAGGGTAGCAAGACAGTAATATGTAGAAATGGAAAGTGGTCAAACCCGCCAAAATGTTTACGTAAGTACTTCAGTAATCTCATGGGACCTAGGAAAATCAGCACCTTGAGTATGATACTTTTCTGTGTAAAATAGCAATAATTCCCATATTAAAAAAGAAATATTCTGTGGAATGCTTCTCTACCAAATATTCATATGTGAGGAAATAAAGATTAATAAGTTATTTTTTTATTTTAAAATAATTAATAAATACAATTATATATATAAGTTTTTTATTAGCATGTAATAGTTGCTCTTATTAATGGGGGTCAGTGTGATTTTCCATATATGCATACACTCAGCATGATCATATCCAATCTCTATTTACCCACCCTACCATAACTTCTCAACCTCTATTGGTCACTATTCTACATTCAGGTCACCCTTTTTAATATTCCACATATAAGAGAGAATGTATGGGACTTATCTTTCTGTGTCTGGCCTATTTTGCTTAACATAATGGCCTCCAGTTCTATCCATTTTGCTGTAAATGACAAGAGCCAATACTTCTTTGTGGCTGAATAATATTCCCTTGTGTAAATATACTACATTGTCTTTATCTCCTCATCTATTGATAAACACATGTTCTCATTCAATATCTTAGCTACTGTGAATAACACTGCATGGGCATGCAGATATCCCTTTGGTATGCTGATTTCTTTTCCTGTGAATATGTACCCAGAAGCAGGATAACTGGGTCATAGGGCAGATCTAATTTAAGTTTTTTGAGAAAACTTCTGCTCTCCATAATGATCGTACCAATTTAAATTCCCACCAAGAGAGTGTAAGTGTTCTTTTTCTCTCACATCCTCACTAACATTTATTAATTTTAGGATTTATTGTTAATAATAGACCTTCTAACTGGGGCAATATGGTATCTCATTGTAGTTTTCATCTTCATTTCCCTGATGGCTAATGATATTGACTAGGGTTTTTTTAATGTATTTTTGACTGTTTGTACTTCTTTGAAATATGTCTATTCACAAATCATTTGCCCAATGTTTAATTGGATTACTTGTTTTTAGTTTTTTTGAGGTCATTATACATTCTAGGTATTAACCCTTTGTGAGACACATAGCTGGCAAGTCTTTTTCCCATTCTCATCTCATTCTATTGACTGTTTCTTTAGCTGTGCAGAATGTTTTCAATTTAATATATCAACTTTGTCAATTTTTGCTTTTGTGGTTCTATCCAGAAAATTGTTGCTTGAACCAGTTTCTTATTTCTCCATATTTTCTTCTAGTAGTTTTAGAGTTTTCAGGTTTTACATTTAACCCTGTGTATATTTTGAATTTAATTTTGTACATGGAAAGAGGAATCAAGATTCAATCATCTGTGTGTGGATATCCATTTTTAGCATCATTCATTGAAGAGGCGGTCCTTTATCCAATGTTTTCTTTTTTGGAAAATTTTTTGGAAACTTTGTTAAGAATCAGCATATATAGATACATGGATATATCTATATCTATATCTATCTATCTATCTATAAATACACATATATATTTATACACAGGGGGGGAGTGTGTCTCTATTCTGTACCATTGGTCATCGTATCTGTTCTTATGCAAATACTATGCTCTTTTGGTTGCTATGGTACTGTAGTATGTCTTGAAATAAGTTACTGTGATGTTTACAGCCTTTGTGTATTTATTTTTTTCTCAAGATTTCATTAGCTCTTCAGGGTCTTTTGTGCTTCCATACAAATTTTAGAATTTTCTTCACTAGTTCTGTGAGAAATATTATTCATATTTTAATGGGAATGGCTTTTAATTTGTAAATTGCTTAAGGTATTATTACTGAAGGAATATGCTTAAGGTATTATTATCAACACTAATTCTTCCAATCGATTAGCATGGGAAGTTTCTTATTTATTTTGTATCTTCTTCAATTTCTTTAATCAGTGTGTGGTAGATGTCTTTTGTTCTTTGCTGTTTTGTTTATTGTTGTAAAGATTAGTGAATGAGATTGTTTTTATTCTTTGGTTCTCAGCACATCATTTTTGATGTATAAAAATCTCAATGATTTTTGTATATTGATTTTGTATCTTGCTACCTTAATGACTTTATCCATTCTAATAGTCTTTTGGTGGAGTCTTTGGGGGTTGTTATATATTTAAACATATCATCTGCAGACACAAATAATTTGACTTCTCTCCTTTCAATTTGTATGCCCTTTATTTCTCTTATTTCACTGTTCTGACTAAAATTTCTGGTACTATACTGATTAAGATCAGGGAGAATAAATACCCTTGTTTCTGATCTTAGGGGAAATGTTTTCGACTTTTCTCATTTCAGTATATTGCCTATGGCTATGTCTTGTATGGCCTTTATTATGCTGAGGTATGATCTTCCCAAACCTTATTTGCTCAGGACTTTTATCAGGAAGTGTTACTGAAATTTTTCAAATGCATTTTCTATATCTATTAATCACATGATTTTTATCCTTCATTCTGTTAATGGTATGTATTATGTTTATTGATCTGAATATGTTGAACCATCCTTGTATCTCTGGGATGGGACCAATTTGATTATGGTGAATAATCTTTATGATTCTATGTTGAATCACATTCAGATTTGCTCATATTTTATTGAGAAATTTTACATCTATGTCCATCAGAGTTATTAGTCTACAGTTTCTTTTTTCTTGTGTTCTTGTTGCTATGGTACCAGGGTAATGCTAGCCTCAGAGAATGGGCTGGGAATGATTCTCTCTCTTTCAAATCTTTGCAACAAATTTAAAAGAAATGGAATTAGTTTTTCTTTAAAGATTTCAAAAAATTAATCAGTAAAAGCATCTAGTCATGGGCTTTCCTCAACTTTTTATTACTGATTCAATCTCATTACTCATTATTGATCTCTTCTGGTTTATATGTTTTCTTGGTTTAATTTTGGCAGAACCTATGTGTCTAAAAATTTATAAATTCCTTCTAGGTTCTCTAATTTGTTGGCATACATTTTCTCACAATAATCTCTAATGACTCTTTGTATTTCTGAGTTATTTGTTGTAATGTCTTTTTTGTTTCATTTTTTTGTTTTGTTTGAGTCGTCTCTTTTTCTTGGTTAGTCATATTAAAGGTATGTTCATTGTTCTTATCTTTTCTGATAACCAATTGTTGTTTCATTAGTCTTTTCTACTGCTTATGTATGTGACACCCTCTCCATCTTATCCTTTTTATAACTGAAAATTTATAGCATTTGACCAATATTTCTTTTCTTTTCTTTTCTTTCTTTCTTTTTTTTTTTTGTGAGTCTGGAGGTGGAAATCAGGGCTTGTGCATGCAAGGCAAGAACTCTACCAACTGAGCTACATCCCTAGCCTTTTGACCAATATTTTAATTAAAGAAAAACCAGCCAGTCATGGTAGTGCACTCTTGTAATGCCAGAAACATGGGATCCTGAGGCAGGATTATCACAGGTTTAAGGCAAGTCTCAATAATTTAGTGAGACATTGTCTCAAAATAATAATAATAAAAGAAAGAAATGTGGATATAATTCAGGAATAAAGTGCCCCTGATTTCAATATCCAGTCCAAAAAAGAAAAACAAAATCAGCCATGATACCATAATGGTTTTACACTCTAAAATACCAAGCTCTTAATATGATAAATGATCTTAAGAATTGGTAATAAAATATAATTATCACACATTAACCACCTAATTCTTACATCATTTACTATTTTTTTTCTCTTAAATTTAATTTTTTAAAAAGCAGAAAAATACATACAAATGAAAAGAACAAAAAAGGAAAATACAGAGGCCAATGAATTCTTTTCGCATTTGGGGGCCAAAACCATATTTCAGGCTGATTCGTATGGACTAACCCTAACCCCAGGATGGTTTCTGTTGTGACCACAGTGTTGTTCCACTAGGAAAGGAGACCACATCTTGGTCTGGCTGCTGACACACTGCCCTGCTCTGGGCAAGCCACTTTATCTCCAGGACCTCAGTTTTCCCTTCTAAAGGGTTAGATCTGAACAGTGGTAAAGTCCCAAGATTCAGTTTCACATATTTTATTGCTAGTTTTCATTTTCTAATTTTTTATTGGTGCATTATGATCATGCATAATGGTGGGACTTATTGTTACATATTCATGCATGCCACAATATATCCATACAATTTGGCCAATATTGTTTCCCAGTATTTCCCCTGTCTCTACTTTATTTTAATCTATCTGTTATTCATACAGAATTTATTCAGGAAGAGTTTTCAGGAAGAATTTCTGAAATATTAAAACCATTCTACTTGAAAACCCCAAAGTCTTGGTAAAAGACTCATTTCTAACTTAATATTATACTCACTTATCTCTTTCAGTTGCATGTGTAATATCAGACGAAATCATGGAAAGATACCACATAACCTTAAGGTGGAAAGAATGGCAAAAGCTTTATGCTTCATCAGGGGACACAGTTGAATTTGTGTGTAAACATGGATATTCTCCATCAACTCGAAGTCAATCATTTCGTATAAGGTGTATTGATGGTCATCTGGAATATCCCGCTTGTATTAAGAGATACTCTTAATTTCATTAAAATGTGCACTTAAATTCAGAATTTTTATTATTAATCTAGCTTTCAATTTTATTTTAAAGTATTGTTTAACTCATTTTTATTCATAAATTAGAATTTGTGTTGATACCTGCTAATGTGTTTAGAATCTGAGAGGCTAGAGCCCCACATCTTAAAAGCACTGCATTCAAATTTGGCAAACCAAAGTGCCACGCATCCTATTTATAAAACATCTATGCAAGAAATTAGATGCAATTACTTCGTGCTTGTCTGTATCCATCATTCTCCAAACTGAAAGTTTTCTACATAACTTTTGGGGCTCTCTGAGACTCTGTTTCACAGTGCATAAAAAGATAGACTCTCCATCTTCAAAATTATATAATTCAGAAAGATCTAAATACCAAACAAAGTCATGACTTATATTAGTCAAAAATATAATCAATTACTAATTATTATTTATCCATAAGCAAATGTAAAAAGATGACATGTGAGCTTCTAAAATATATGAATCTAGTACATTCAACAATGTAAACAAATCATAAAGAGGAATAGAAGCTTAATTAGATATATAACTATAAAACTATCATAATTGTTACTATGTAACTATGGAAAAATGGCAGAAAATGCAATAAAATCTGTAAAAACTATATTTGTGCTTAGAGGTAAGAGGATTGACTTGTTTAATTCCTTTAAAGAGACAGTCTCTAAATTATGGTGGTTTAATTTGTGATTTTTTTTTTTTTACTTTACAGTAGTATGAAAGTGATATGTATTCAGTAGAAATTGTACTTTAATCTGTTTCTATGACTAGAAATACATGGTAGACTACTTTTATGGTATTGGGTAACAGCAGTTTACAGCATCCAATTGGCCTTGTGATTAACTAAGTATACTACAGGGTACTGTTCTGCTAAGCTATGATATATGATAGGTTGGTATATTAAATGTATGTTCAACTTAAAATAATTTTAATTTATCATAAGTTAATCAGGATGTAACATTCTAAATTGAGGAGTATCAGCATTTATATTATATTGTACAATTTTTAAACCTTTAATATACTCAGTTTTGAACTTTGAGAATAAGTCTTTTTAAGACAATAATGCCTAAAAACCAAGGTGATCTTGTGGAGAAATATAAACGCCTTATTGGTAATGATCTCAAGGTCAAATTATGCTTTAATGAGTTTTTTTGTTGCAGAAATTTTTTTCTTCTGTTTTTAAAATTTCAGTAACAAGATCTTGAAGTGTAATTTTATATCTTTGCATTTCAGACAGCAGTATTTAGTTAAAATCACTTTGTCTAGAAACATTTTTTGATTTTTAAAAAGCTATAATCTTAGGATGAAAATAAAGATAAAGATAAAAATGTACAAAACTTTAAGGTGATAAATTGTTACCTCTTATTGTATAAAATCATAAAGCTTATATTAAACGCTTTCCTCTTGTTTGAGATCCTGATTTAGATAAATTGAATTGAGACAGATTTTTTTCAATTTTAATGAAATTGGTTACAACAAACAAGTAATCCTTGTGTTTAATTTTAACACCTGAATATACTTAACTCAGTCCCATTGGGCCACTATAACAAATATAACTTGTCCATTGTGGCTTATTTTAAAAAGACATATCTTTCATACAGTTCTTGGAGCTGAGATGCCCAAGATCAAGGCACCAGCTAACTTGGTGTCCCAGGAGAGCTTATTCTGTTTTGCAAATGGCATCTTCTCACTAGGTAGAAGCAGCAAGGAAGTGCTCCACCCTTTCCTTGTAAGGGCACTGTTTCTACTCTTGAGGATGGAACCCCATCTCCTATTCACCTAAAAAGACTTCATCTTCTAATATGCTCACTGTGGTCACTAGGAATGAAACAGTGACATTTAGGGGGACACAAGCATTCAGGACATAGAAGAGAATAGGGAAGGAAAAAGACAGTCCATGCCACAGAACCAAAAGGCAGTAATGATGTTTACACTTCTATTTCACAGAGGAATTTTAGCCAAACATTGTAATACAGAGATAAAAGAAGGTCATTTTATACACACACACTCTCTCTCTCTCTCTCTCTCTCTCTCTCTCTCTCTCTCTCTCTCTCTCTCTCTTTCTCTCTCCAACATGGGAGAAGCTAAATATAAAAAAGCAAATGTTAATAGATCTTAAGGGAGAAATAGATTGCAAAATAATAATAGTAGGGTGCTTCCATACTCCATCTTTAATACAATAGATAGGTCATCCTGACAGAAAATCAATAAGAAAACCTTGGACTTGAGCTGTATGTTACACCAAATAGACCTAACAGATATCCATAGAATATTCTACACAATAGCAGCATACACATTATTCTGTAGTGCATACACAACATTCTCCAGGATAGGTCATATGTTATGCCACAAAACAAATTTCACATATTTAAGAATGCTGAAATTATATCAAGTATCTTTGCCAAATAAAAGCCCAAAACTATATATCAATAACAGGGAATATTGGTATATTCACAAATATATAGAATTTGAATGACATCCTCTTGATCTTCTAATAGGTCAATGACAAAATTTAAAGAAAAATGACACTTACAGACAAACAAACATCAAAACATAGAATACTAAAACTAAGGTGCAGAAAAAGAATTTTGTAAGGGAAATAAGTATATAACTATAAATGCCTATGTGATTTAGATCTCAAATAAATAACAAAGCTTCAAACTTTATGCCTCAAAGAACTAGAATATGAAGAAGTAACTAAAGATATTAAGAGGGAGGAAATAAAGGTATCCAAAAAGAAAAAAACAATATTAAGAAAAAAAAGAAAAGAAAATACTGAGAAAACACTATTAAGCATCTACAAAGCTAAAAGCTGATTTTTAACCAATAAACAAAATTGTTAAAAGTTTAGCTGGACAAATATGGAAGTAAATAAATTTCAAAATGAAGAAGAAACATTACAGTTAATAGCACAGAAATACAAAATGTACTACAATTCTGGTATGAACAATTATACCAGCAATTTGGATGACCTAGAAGAAATGAATCTTTGTAAAAAGTTGCAGCCTACCAGGACTGAATCACAAATACAAAATCCCAACAGACTGGTAATGAACAAGGAGTTTGAATTAGTTATTAAAATTTCTTTTATGAAAGAAAAGCCCAGGACCTGATAACTTTACAGGTCGGTTTTATAAAATGTTCAAAAGTTAACATGACATGGATGAACCCAACTCCCTTGTATAACTATGAAGATTTAAAAAAATTATCACAAATCCTTTTCATATCCTTCAAAAAAACTGAGGAGTAGTAAGCACTTCCAAATTCATTTATGAGGCCAGCTGTTAGGGTCCATAAACAAGTCAAGATGGCGCCTGGCATTTTGCCAGAGGGAGTGGTTGGAGAAGTAACGCCAGCAAGCCATTAAGATGATATTCCTTAATGACTGCTGTGTCTAGATTATGTCAATTAAGTTAAGCTGTGTGTAATTATTAAGATGAAGAGAATTCCTTAATGACCAATTGATGTATCTGGATATTAATTGAAACAAGCTGTGTATAATCAGTTAAGTGTATATATACCTCTACTGTCTGACAATAAAGTGGCTCCCGATGTATCAACCTTCACAAGTTCCTTGTGACTCGTCCCCTGGTTATTTCACCTAGCCAGACTGCGGGAGCCAGCATGTCTTGACAACAAAGCTACACAAGTATACCAATATACCTGATGAATATCCCTGGTGAATAGAGATGTAAAACCTCTCAATATAAGATGAATTCAACAGCACTTTTAAGGGATCATAAGACTGACTCGTCTGTGATTTATTTCTGGGACTCAAAGATGGTTCAATAAATACCAGTCATTAAATATTATATATTACATTAACAGAATAAACTTTTAAAATCATTATTATTCAATAGATGGAAAAACCAACATCATTTTATAATAAAAACTCTCAAAACATTTGGCAATGAAGGAGTTATTCCAGGACAAGAAAGGCCATATACAAGTTGAATAATCCTAATCCAAAAATCCAAAATCTGAAATGCAAAAACTTCTGAAACTTTCTAGATAATAATGCCTAAATTGGAAAATTCCACAACATGATTCTTTGCTTCATGCACAAAATTATTTGGAGTGTGCATATAACTTTTTGGAAAATATTTATGTAGTGAATATGAAAACCAAATAAGTTTTGTGTTTAGGCTCAGGTCCCACCCCAGTGTATCATTGTGTATACATAAATACTTCAAAACAACAACAAAAATGTGGTCACGAGAATTTGTAATTAGGGATATTCAACTTGCATTAGCAGTCTACAATTGGTATCATACTAAATGGTAAGAAATTAAATACTTTACCTCTAAGATCAAGACTAAGGCAAGAATATCCACTGTCTTAGTCCACTTTCTTTTGCTATCATAGAATACCTGAGATTGGGTAACCATAGCATCCAAATTCATGCCCCCAAATTCACATCTTTCTCACACACAAAATAACATTCTTTTCATCCCAGTAGTTTCAAAGTTTTTACTTCCTTCAGCGTCAACTCAAAAGTTCCAAGTCCAAAGTCATTTAAATTGAGTATGGGTGAGACTCAAAGTCTAAATCATTCTAAGGCAAATTTTCTATAGCTGTGAACCTATGAAACTAAAACAAGTCACCTCCTTCCAGAATACAATGGGAAGACTGATATAGGATAGACATTTACTTTCCAAAAAAAAAAAAATGGAAAAATAGGCAAGAAGAAAGGAGTAATAGGCATCAAGTCCAGTGGGAAAACAATTCAGTCCTTGAGCTACAAAGTAATCTACTTTGATTCCGTGTCTTGCTGATTGGAATCAGCAAGGAGATGGGAATCCCCAAGGATTTCAAATTGACAGTCCTGTGGTTTTGTTGGGCTTAGCCCATGCTTCAGCCCTGTTGCACTGATGTGGTTCTAGAGTTCTGGGGTTTGGGGCAACAGTCCCTATTCCAAACTTGCCTCTGTACTACCATAATGAGAACCGTCTGTGATAGCTCTGCTCCCATGATTTCATTAGTCAGTGCCCTAGCATGTATTCTGTGTTGTTTCTAGCTCTGACCCCACACTTCTGCTTAGCATTGCCCTAGTGGGAGCTCAGTATTCTGGTTCCATCCCATTGAAAGTCTCTGCCTGAGCCACTGGGTATGACCTTGAAATCTAGGAGGAGACTACTAAACTTGCATAGCTCTTTGCAGACCTTCAGAATAAATTACTTTCATGTGAATGCTGCCAAAGTTTATGGCATGTACCCTCTGAAGCAGTGTGTCTAGCCATAACTTGAACTTTAACAGGGTATCCCCTTCTAGAAGTTGTCCTTGGCAAGATCACTCACTTTCTTTTCAAATCCTTTAATGCCTTCTCCCTGAAAATCAAAGGAAAATCAGTAGAATACAGAAAAGGGATCAGGGGGAGGAAAGAGGAAAAGGAAAGGGGAAATACTGGGAAAATATTGTCTAAATTATATTGATATGTATAAGTAAGTAACAATGAATCCCACTACTGTGTACAACTATAATGCACCAATAAAAAATATGGGGGGAAATCCCCTCCCTTTTACTCTGTATTTTAAGTTATAAGGAAAGGCCTCCCCTGCAGAGTCTAAATTCTGAAAGGCCTCACTTGAATAGTTTGGATGTCAAGCATTTTTTGATTCCCAAACTCAGGGGGCCTTTGTAACATTCTTCTTGTCAGCTAGCTTTGGGGGGTCAAAATCTATTGTGATAAGACAAATACACTCTCTGAGGAAGACCTGCCCAGCCTCCAAGCTGAGTTCATCCTTTCCTCTCCTTAAAAACCCTTTACTCCCTGAGCCTGAGAAAAATCAGAGCTTGAAAGAATTGTATGTGATTCAGCAAAAGCAGTATCAACAGGCAAGTCCATAGCAATAGGAGCCTACATCAAAAGGAGAAAGCTTTCAAATAAACAACCTAATGATGCACCTCAGGAAACTAGAAAAGCAAGAAGAAAAAAAAAAAAAAAACCTTTAAGCCTCATATTATTAGGAGAAAAATAACAAAGATCAGAGTGGAAAAACTACAGAGACAAAAATAAATACAAAAAATCAGTGAAACAAAGATTTGGAGGTTTTTTCTTTTTTGAAAAGATAAACAAAATTGAAATAATTTTAGTCTTATCAAGAATAAAAAAGACACAAACAAATGAAGACAGAGGAGAAATGAGGCATGACAAGTGATATTACAGAAATTAAAATACTCAATCATTAAGGAATTTTATGATCTTATGCATACAGATAACAATAAATGTTGGCGAGGATGTTACCTCTAAAAGTGTTTCTATGATTCCACGGTGAATAAGTGTAAGCTAATTTTGAATAGTTATCTATCAAAAGGAAGAACAATTCTTTGTTGCAGCTTTTAGGAATCCTATTTTTTGGAAGACAAACATTCCTATGACTAAGTTGTGATTTTATACAAAATGATCAACAATATAAACTAACAGTACAGCTAATTCATCAATAGAAAAAAATAAACTTTCAATTTTCAATGCTCTTCAATATGCAATAGAAGTAGAAGAAAATAACTTCAGAAGATAGTATTGAATATAGATTTAAAAGTTAGTTGTTATATTGTTGAAAAATAAACATGCCAGTTTTTTGTCCATCTAAAATCTATTTTTCTGAAGTGTACTGACCTGAATTTAGGAAGCATTCATAAGCTTCATAAAAATTAATTAAACATAAATATTAAATTATGTGCTCAGTAAATATTAGGATCCTCATAGCTTTGATCTTTTAGTAATAAATGTACACTGATGATTTCCTTTAAGAACAAATAGGTGGGCTGGGGATGTGGCTAAAGCGGTAGTGCACTCGCCTGGCATGCGTGCGGCCCAGGTTCGATCCTCAGCACCACATACAAAACAAAGATGTTGTGTCCACCGAAAACTAAAAATAGGTGCAAGATCATGTAGGAGATCAGGAGCTGGTAAGAATTATTTCCATGATGGGGCATTTCTTTTTTCTCCTTTGCTTACATATTGAGCTATTTCAATTTTATATGGCATAGAACAATGTCTCATGTGAGGTATGTATATAAGTATATATGTGTTTACGTATTTATTCTGGTGCTTGGGATTGAACCCAGGGGCACTCTACAACTAATAATGGGTCTCACTAAGTTGCCTAGGCTGCCCTGAACTTTTGATCCTCCAGACTCAGCCTCTCCATAGCAGCTGGGATTGCAGGATTATATATGTGTGCCACCACACCCAGCTGAAATGAGCCTTTATTATTATTATTATTATTATTATTATTATTATTATTATTACTGAAGATTGAACCCAGGGGCACTTTACACTGAGCTCCATCCCTGGCCCTTTTGCTTTTTAATTTTGAGACAGAGTTTCATTAATTTGCTTAGGGCCTCATTAAATTGCTGAGGCTGGCCTCAAACTTGTGGTCCTCCTATCTCAGCCCCAAGTCACTGAGATTACAGGCTTGGCCCCACTGTACCCAGTGAAATGATACTTTTTAATGATCATTACACTAAAATATCTTTCATTCTGAAATATATTACATATGAATATTGAGCTTTGAAAATATTCAACCTAATTTTCTTTCCCTCCAGGGCTGGAGAGTGAGCCCAGGTCCTCCAGCACACTAGGCATGTGCCTTACCACTGAGCTGTGTCTCCAGCTCTCAACTTCACTTTTCTATGTATCATTATTTACACTGATGGTCTTTCCTAAAATACAGGTCCCAGAACTATTTATCATTGAGAAATTCCTTGTTCACACCTTTCACAATGTTTTGACTTCACACTTCACGAGGTAGTCATTTTGCTTACTATATTCAAGCCAGTTTTGATAATAGTTCAGTTATTGCCCAATTCATTTTGCTCTGAATCAAAAATAGGGGAAATCATATAAAGTATTTACAGTCCTCAAGTATATTTTTTTCTAAAATAACTTGTGAAAAATCAGAGATGCTACTCATTCTTTAATCTTGTATTTGTTGTGTTATTATCAAATTAGGTTTGGTGGGAGGATGTCTCCACACTTGAGTCCTCGGGTTACAAACTCCAACTAGGTTAGTGCTCACACTACTTGAAAGTCTAGAGTGGAGGACACTAAAGTAACACAGCCAAGTCTCAGCCCAGGGCAGCGACTGAGCCATCAACTTCAGAGTCCTGGGACTCAAGCTCTTTGCAACCCATGAGGATCCTGTTCACAGGGGCTGTCCTGCCACACAGGGAAACCAAGTTCTTTGAAGCTGTTCCAGTCCTGGGCTGCCAAGTCAGTGGGTCCTTGTTTCTTCTCCCCCTTCCTTTTTTTTTTTTTTTTTTTTTGGTGGTGGGGGCTTCCAGGGATTAAACTCAGAGACACTCAGCCACTGAGCCACATCCCTGACCCTATTTTATATTTTATTTATAGACAGGGTCTCACTGAGTTGCTTAGTGCCTCACTGTTGAGGCTGGCATGAACTTGTGATCCTCAGCCTCCTGCGCTACTGGGATTACAGGTGTACGCCACCCGGCCACTCATCTATTTTCTTGCTTAAATGAACTCTGCAAAATTTAACTTGTTTTAGGGTTTTCCTTTAACCATCAAGTATGGCACGGAAACTAAAAGTTTATTGTCATGTAG